AGCATGCTTGTCCGTTTTCCCATTCTTGCCTATTCTGTAATATTCTTTGGACTCGGGCAGACATGGCTGTGGCAGCATGCTTGTCCGTTTTCCCACTCCTGCCTACTCGGTAATATTCTTTGGACTTGGACAGACATGGCTGTAGCAGCATGCTTGTTCGCGTCCCACTTTTGTCCTTTTGCATATATGCCATAAAACTTTCTTTTTACTTTACTAAACTTTGTGATGTTTTTCCCCTACAACACTACAGAAATGAAGGTCATATTGGAAGTAAATAATGAAGAACTGACACTATTTGAAAACACAATAAGGATCAAAAAGGAAAAGCCTGATAAAAATAAGGAAAATGAAATTGGAAAGTACAAAGAGTTAAAAAAAGATTGGAGAGAAAACAGAAGATGTGAAAGGCAGATAAAAGAGACCCAACATTGGCACAACTGGTATTCCTACAGAAAGGAACTAAATATATGGAATATAAAACATTTTCAAAGATACCACCAAGAAAACTAACCTAAAGTAAAAGAATTTAAATTTACAGACAAAAATTATATACCATGTCTCAGGAAAAACTAATACAAAATCACCAATGAAGCACAGTCTAGTAAAGCTATTGGACTTCAAAGATAAAGATTTCTTTGGTCTTCAGGCAAAGAGTCCACATTACCTAGAAAAAGGGGGAAAATCACAGTGGTCTGAGGGTTCTCTACAGCAACATTCAATGCTAGAATTTTATACCTCACTAAATTGTCATTTAAGTAAAACGACAACAGAAGAGTATTTTCAAAATGCAAGAACTCAGGGAATACAGTTCTCATAAATCCTTTCTGAAAAACTACTAGATGATGAACTTTAGCCTACTAAGAAGTGGAGAAATTTAGAAACAAAAAAAGACTGGTGCTGAATACTAGATCCACTTACATAGGGGTGGGAGGGTGAAAAAAAGGGAGGATGAAAGGGAGTAGGTGAGGTGATGAATCTAATATTAGTTTTGAGAACAAGTATCAGTCACTGGACCTTTAGTGAAATTAAGAAGGAAAATAAATTTGACCTCTTTCTCCCCTATTGGTGCTTTCTTTGTGTTTGGCAAAAATTTTCATCAGATTATACTGTGAATTCAAAGAATCTTGATTTGTTTACTGAAACTACACCATGGCTCATAAGGACAAAATTATGTTTTGGTTATGACTTCCAAACGTGGTCAACATCTCCAAGTTCCTATTAGTAGTAATTAACATTTATTTTACTAAGCTCCAGAGAACACTTCTCAAATACCTTACCGAAATAAATTTATTATAGATTTTCAATGGAGATACATTTGAGAGCAGCAAAGACTGGACAGCTTTCAGGATATAAAAATCTAACAGATCAGCATGTTGAAAGAGTTCACGCTTTTGTAGCCTTAGATTCCCCAGAAAGAATCCTATGCTGTCTATGTACTCATAAACTTTGGGGTCACCATAAAAAACAGAATAACTTGGGATCTAAACTAAAGCAGAATCTGAAAGCAAATTTAGTTATGTATTGTGTATTTCTTTTAAGTGTTTATGCTTGTATTTTAAAGTTAATTTCAATATAAATTTTATTTAAAATGAATCCTGAAAGTAACTTTCCCTTTTATGTATTACAGTTCAAATGTTACAGATTTGTAAATTGCTTCTATGTTTTCCATTAACTGTCTTAAAAAGATAGCAATAACTGCTTTAGGACAACTATGATTCAATGTTTCATCAAAATGTCTGTGATTCTCTTTTAAAAAAAAAAAGTCTGTGATCTTAAAAACCACACTTCAGCTTAAATAAAATAAAAATAAAAAATAAAAACCAACTGCCATGGAGTCGATTCAGACTCATAGTGGCCCTACAGGACAGAACAGAACGGCCCCATAGGGTTTCCACTGCTGTAAATCTTTGCAGAAGCAGACTGCCACATCTTTCTCCCTCGGAGCAACTGGTGGATTCAAACCTCTGACCTTCTGGCTAGCAACCAAGCGCTTAACCACTGCATCAATAGGGCTCCTACACTTTAGGTTACTCTACATTAAAATATGTCATTCAAAAATAATTTAGAAACTGTTATAGCCAAGAGGAGCCTAAGGAGACATACGACTAAATGTA